GGGAAAGATGTTAAGCCACATATCTCAAAAAAAAATGTGCATCTCATGGAAACTACCTTTATTGTAAAGAGAACAGTGCTTTCAAGTGCTAGCCTGCACAGACAGTGCTAATCGCAGGAATTAGGCACTGCTATTTTAATACAAAGGTTTCTTGCAGAGGATCTGTTCAGAGCTCCACTGTAAAGGCACGCAGCTGAAACGCGGCAGAGAAGGTTTCGTCTGTTCAATTTACAATAAATGACTTAATTAATCTTTAATTATGCTACTTATCAGAAAAAAATCAAGTAATTCTTATACTAAAGTATAGAAATTTAGGAGTTTCTTCACTGTGCATGTGGGTTTTCTCCTGTTTTTTCAACAGTTTCAATTTTATTTGGATTCACTACTTCTATCTGTCTTGAAAAACTAGAAGCCTAAGACATTAAAATCTGTCCTAAATCACTCACACTGTCCTTTAGATATATTGCAAGCATCACCAATAAAAGTTATCACAGCACTGTTCATTTTACATGGTTAGCTATACACATCCATAGAAACACACTACCACCTTCATAATGCTACTGATCAGGAAACTGATTACGAAGCTCTATTATCGACATGCCAAGATTAAAAAAAAAAAAAATATCTACGGCAAGCCTGTATTTTCACAGAGGCAGGAAAAAAATATATCTAAACTTGAAAATCAAAAAATATCAGTGAAGTAACTCATTCTCATGCACATGGGTCCTTAAAATTCGCTGTACGGGCTCTCTGACGTGACATTCACATCATACATGGCTCAGATGTGAATGCTGCAAACGCATGCATGCGTGTTTAGTAATCACTTCTGGCTGGGAACATGCAATATGAGAAGTGCTGTCATTAGGACCATGTGCTGTCATTTTGAAGTGATAGGAAATTACTCAGGGACTTAAAGGATCTAAGAAACAGCTTTCCGGCACTTTGCGAGAAAAAGAAACCTCTAGCATAGGCACAAGACTGGAGATGAAACGGGAAGGACTGGGAATAGATGAACAAGGTCAAAGAGGAATTGCCAGTCAGGGAGGGGCATTTTTAGCAGATTTTAGCAGACATGAACAAGCAGAATGGACTTTCACTTTCTCAGGGTTCAGTTTTGATTCACTGATGAAGAACTGCACTCCAGCTGCTGGTTCACTCAGCCGTGGAGAGGGAACAGTGCTCCAAAACCAGGCTACTGCCATGGACCCCTGCCATTCTTCCTGGTTTGGCCTGACTTCTCAGCTGCCAGCGATATTGGCAGGGGGTCTTTGGGACTATTTCCACTCCTTTGTTCCCCCAAAATCTAAAGCAGACTGTCATTGCTCTGCTATCATTCCATGAGATGATATAAAACTGGTGTTAAGACACAGATAGGTTGGACGTGGCACTGGGCCTTATGTGCCCAGAGGACATCCAAGATGTAAACCAACCAAAATAACTGAATAAACCCCAAACTAATCTTAGTATTGGGCCTGCCATGTCATGGGGGGTGAAGATGTGGATGAAGTGGGCTGGGCCATGAAGGGACAGCTTCAGTGTGCCCAGGGACAGGCTAGGCAAACATCGTGCCTGGAGCAGCAACCCCAGTAGGTTAGAGCACCCCTGAGGTCGTGGCGTGGGGACAACTCGGCTACATCGGGCTCCTTCGTCTGCAAACTGCCCCCAGCCCCACGCACATGGGGGAAGACGTCAGGCATCGCTGCAGCAACACCTGCCCTGGGGTGCTTGCAAAGCTCAGGGGCAGCGGTGATGGTGGCCCTGGGCATTTGCAGAGTCGTGACTCTGGAAAAGCCAAAATCGAGGTGAGGAAGTCTAGGGCGCTGAGCACGCATGGCAATGCTCTTCAGCTCTTCTGCCCACGTTTGGCACTGGTGTCCAACCGAGCACACGGTCGGATGCCTGGCAGTGTTGCATCAGGAGGCATCGAGCTGCTGCGAAACCACAGCGGAACTGAAAACATCAAGACTCAGTTCTGCTCCCGATGCCTGCTCAAACCTTCTCCCCAAAGCACAGGTGGGAAACGAGCAGACGTTGAGCAACAGGGCTGTGGAGGGTCCTCTTAAAATTAGCAGTGCTCGTCTGAGGTTTCCAAGGAGGGAGCCAGGGCTGTCCTTGCGCTGATGTGGTTTCTCTGGCTGTACCTCTGCCTGCCAAGAGCCTGCCATGCCGTGTCCCCATCAGATACTGCCCACAGGTCTGTGGGCAAAGAGCGATCGCTATGAAGGACCAAGGGCAACCGGTGTTTTCAGGGGGAGGTAAAGGGGGGGAGGCCAAAGAATATCTTCTGCCACAAATCCCAACATAAACACTTCAGAGTCCTGCAATAAAAACCTGCTTCCATGAAAAAGGAAAAAAATGCTATTTTTAAGAGAAATTATGAAGAAAAGCATGTGATCATTCGTGGAAAAAAATTATGCCCAAACCAGTCACAGTTTCCCTTTTGCTGGAAAAGTCAAATTTTAGCTCTGTAAGTCTCTAACTATTGTCAAGATCCTCAGCCTCCTCCTCCCTGGTCTGGGTGAGCCGGACCTTCTTGCGGTGGGAGTGGTAACACCATACTTTGAAAACCTCCTTCAAGATGGTAACATGACATTTATTTACCATCTACTTACCTGCGTTGCTCAAAACACAATGTAAAGGGGAAAAAAAAGTGTGCTTTCTAGCCAAACACACCTATTATTGTATATTTTACACATGGATACACATGTATATATGTATGACCTCAAGGAGTTAAAATACATATATACATATACACATATGTATACATAGAGAGAGAAAACACAAGTTTAAAAATAGGTGAATGCCATCGTCTCTGGCATTTGTCATCAGTCATCCAGAGGAAGGGAAAGGGAGGTGGGAGACATCTGATGGAAGAGATGACACAATGACAGAGACCTCCCGCTCTCCCAGATTACGGATGTAGGCACACGTCGGTTTCTGCTGCAGTTCTGCCTGCGCTGCTTTGCTTCCCTCTTAGGGTAAGACAAACCCAACTGACTAAACACGGTACTTCTGTTGTAATGGGGTTTTTTTAACATTTTCCATGCTATGAGTATTATTTTCTGGGTTCTCATTAGTGAGTCTGCCTGGATGTC